TCTTCTCCCGACCGACAGTATAATTCTTAACCAAGTTGGGCGTCCGTTTGGCTGTGCTATTGTGGGCTTGAATTCGCAGCCACATCCACATCCGGTCAGAATGGGGACGTAAAATCCGATGCCGCTTGTAATGAGAGTGCCACATTATTTTCACTTTTAAAGAACCCTTACAACTGTAGAAGGGGTCCGTAGGTGACCTATTGTTAGGCCAAATTTCTTTCAAATTTGCAAACAATAGTTCTCATCCTGAAGATCCATGAAATGTTCGCTGCTGGACGTATGAGGAGTATTGGCAAGTTCCTGTGACATAACTCTGAACAAAGAAATATTGGTCGGTCCATTAGGATCTGTTTTTTTTTTTCAAGAAACATAAAAATAAAAATCTTCAGTTTCTGTATAATATAAGATTTAATACAAAACTCCAATAACCGTATGATCTCATCGTTTGTCATGTTGAGGAAAAATTATGAATTTATCTATATGATAACTCTATTGTTCTGTTTTCCCACTTTTACTATTTACCAGAACATACTTCGTAGACGTATATACTAGTAGTCATTAGATTCCTTGCGACGAACACACCAAACAATGGAAAGTACTTGGACGGGAGATAGTCATTGAACCCGTTTAACCAGTTTGAAAAACGAGCAAAATTCAAGACAAGTGTTCTGCCCCAATTTCATTTTTTTTTAAATATTGGTACCCATATAGCCAAACTGGACTGATGTTTTTTCTAGAAATAATGGCAATACCGTTACGTTACATTTTAGCTACCCTTTAAAATAAAAACTTTTTATTGAGATAACCATTATTACTATTTATCTGTTAGTTTTACCAGAAAAACTTTTCCATACTATTTGCTTAAGCCATATTCACACATATAATCATGTAAGCAGCAAAGCTATATTGGTTTCTTTATGTGTTTTGGAGAGATAAATATAGTCCAAGTAAATCAAAAATTAATTCATTTATTAATGGACATTCAGGCCGTTAGTTTTCTCGATTAGATTGTTTTACATTCGTCATTTCTAAGCCTTTTTATAGCCGACTATGCGGCATCAGTTTTTGTTGAACCGTAGTTGTTAACTTCTATATCATTTGGCCAATGGTAGAGGGTTGTCTCATTGGCAATCAATACACACCCTGCTATTTCAATATCAGCTAAATTTTTAAAATGCTCCATAAAGGAATATAGTTTAAGCTGTTAGTAGGAAACCTTTTAGATTAATTACTAATTTAATTTTTGAATATTGCTACAAGTGGGATACAGATGGATGTGTATAGTACTTAGTTGGATTTTTTCGTTGAGTAATAATTCTAAGTTTTTAAAACATTTGTGACTTTGGGCGATGGGAAATGGGAGGAAATTCATTTTTCTTGACATTGTTGAATTGTTAGCATTTAGAAATTGATAATTTAGCAATTTTAGAATGAATGACCAAGTGGAAATGAAATGCACAATAAAATTATAAAGGATAACAGAATTGTGTTATACAGAAACTGAAGATTTTTATTTTTTGCAAAATAGGATAATATGGGATTAAAATGTGGCATGAAGTGGGCATGAATTGGTAATTGTGGTTTACGGGATTGTAATTCTAAGTGGTTGGGATGTTATTCTAACAAGTTTTGTGAATTTGTCATTAATATTGTTCTGAAAAGCGATATCAAATGGCGACAGTAATGTTGCATGTTACAAGAGTGGATTATCATAAATTGTGGTGTACTCCCCTTTGCACAGAAACGTCAATATGGAGGAAATTATTTTTAAATATATGTGGGAAATGTTTACATCATTATTGAAGTGGATTGATATTTTCAAATGAGAATCTTGATATTTTGATAATTTTAAGCATATCTAAATTCCCAATATTTCAAGATTAGTTAAACTTCCTTGAAATTGGTCAGAAATCCGCAATTAAAACAAAGTTTAAATAAATGATTGCTTGTTTTTACCCCCCACCCCCCCCCACCCAATTCAATCCAACCTTCTTTTTGTGGTACAATTCATACATTTAAACTCGTTGTTGTCCAGAATCCCCAAAAATGTTTGCTTTTGGAACAAAATTCTTAACAGTAGGGGCCATAACCCCCAAAATTAATCCCAACTTTCCTTTGGTGGTATGGAACCACATAGAGATCAACGACACTTGTACTCAAGTTAATGTCTGGAAACCTTAAGGACAACTTACCACGTATATTTGATATTGCTCAAGTGATTTCAGAGATATTATTTATTAACTTGGTTGATGGATGACATTTTTCAATGTGATTAGAATATGAACCTGCTTTCTACTGGACCAACATACTAAGCCAGATCTTTAACTTGTTAGTTTACAAGTAAACATCCCACAGGCAGACATATCAGCCTATCTGTACACGTTATTCAAACTTGGGGCTGACCTGGCTTTGCTCTTCCATGCAAGTTCCTGGTGCTAAGCCGAGATGCAGCAAATACAAATTTTTAAGTCTTTCGTTCAGGAAATCAAATCCAAGATCACATGCATTCGAGGAAAGCATACAGCCCCAAGACAATCACAGCAATTTGGTATCTGAACAACCTAACACTTGAGATGAATATGCATACAATATATTGCATTCAACCTTTCTCCATTTACAATAAAATGAAGTGAATAGGGCTGAAACAATACTCCTCACTGGCATATACCACTTATTATCGTTTTTTCACATGGTTTTATTCATTTTCATAGCTCAATTCCTTCAATTACATTTCTTCTCGAATTTTCAACTGGTTAGCAGAAAAATGCATGTCGACAGAATTGCAAGACTTATATACATATGCCATCAATTACAATCTGTCTATACACAATAGTACTAAGTACTGTTTCACAAGAAAGTGTCTCCAAAGGATACCATACCACTGACTTTATGTTGAAGTCTTAAAGATAAAGGTTTAACTACAAGAATCACAAACTTAATATTTCCAATGATCCATGACATTGAAGTCAAGGTCAGATAGACCTTACAATCATTCCATGCACCAAATATTGTTGACCATTGCTTATATTATCTAAGAAACCGACTTAACCAGGAAATCTTAACATTGACCAATGAACCAAGAAAATGAAGGGAAGGCCAATGATACATGCCAGACAGACATGTGCACCTTAAAATCGTTCCAATATAGTTGACCTATAGCTTCAATTGTCTAAGAAACAGACTTGACCAGGAAAACGAACATTGACCAGTCAACCAAGAACCAAATATAGTTGACCTATTGCTTAAATATAGCATTTGAAAAACAGACCAAAACACAAAAGCTTAACATTGACCAATGAACCATGAAAATGAGGTCAAGGTCAGATGAAACCTGTCAGACTGACATGTACTAACAATTATTTCATACAATAAATATAGCTGACCTACTGCTTTTAGTTTCAGAAAAATAGGCCTTATCATGCAACTTTAACCTTGATCACTGATCCATGAAATGTGGTCAAGGTCAGGTGAACCCTGTCTGAAGGACATGGAGACCTTGCCAGGAACCCATATACCAAATAGATTTATTCTATTACTCATAAAAAGTAAAAATTTACATGACAATAACATTATATATTCTTTTAAGCAGTTCCTGAACCATAAAAATGAGGTCATGGACAATGGACATACAGGACAGATACTTGAATCATAAACATCTATATACAAAGTATGAATCATTCAGGTCTTCTACCCTCCGATTTATAAAGCTTTATACAAATAGTGATTACTATCTGGCGATGGCATAAACTATGTCTCGCATTTGTCCTACACAAGACAAATAAATGGGGAATGTGTCCATGGGACACAGATGATGCCTCCGCGTGCATATCATATAAAGGGACATAACTGAAGAATGGTAAAAGTGACGCTACCCAAATTTGAATTCATCCTAGTTTTGTGGTAATAAGTATTGTGTATAAGTTTCATAACAATTGGTTGAGGCAAACTAAAGTTCAAGAACAGAAATGAAAAATTCAGCAATTTTTCCATTTGTAAAGGGGCAAAACTCTGATTTGTATAAGTGACACCACCAAAATTCAAACTTGATCTGTGTTTTGTGGTAACAAGCATTGTGTAAAAGTTTCATAACATTTGGTAGAGGCAATCTTAAGTTAGAGACAGAAACCAAAAATTCAGCAAATTTTCCATTGATAAAGGGCATAACTCTAAAATGGTTCAAGTGATGCTATTAAAATTAGAACTTGTTCTGTGTTTTGTGGTAATAAGCATTGTTTATAAGTTTCATAACAATTAGTTGAGGCAAACTAAAGTTAGAGAACGGAAACTAAAATTCAGCAGTTTTTCCATTTTTAAAGGGGCATAACTCTAGAACGTTAAAGTGACACCACCAAAATTCAAACTGGATCCGTGTTTTGTGGTAATAAGCATTGTGTATAAGTTTCATAATATTTGGTTGAGGCAAACTAAAGTAAGAGAACGGAAACTAAAGAATTCAGCAATTTTTCCAATTATAAAGGGGCATAACTCTAGAACGGTTTAAGTGACACCACCTAAATTCAAACTTGATCTGTGTTATGTGGTTATTAGCATTGCGTATAAGTTTCATAACATCTGGTTGAGGCAAACTAAAGTTAGAGAATGGAAACCAACTTTGGGACGTACGTACAGATGGACAAGGGTAAAACTTAATGCCCCCTCCGCTACAGAGGGGCATAAAAATGATGCAAACTGGAAGAGCAATAAAGATTCATAAAATCATTCCACCTCTAGAAAAACAGATTCTGCATTTGTTGACAACAGCACCTGATATATATATAAATATATATATATATAATGTGTAAACAACAGCCCAACAATGTTAGATCTGTAAATTTGCGGAAGCAAATTTTTTGTTCTTCCAAGGCCGGGATTCGAACTCATGCTACTGAGATATCGTGGCACCAAATCGCCTTGATATATATATATATATCTCTTACACTATGTATTTGATAATAATTAATCTTCCCCAATAACAATTTCATAATCAGGAGGCAATACACTGACAAGAAATATCCTGATCACAGCCAGGTTTTATTTTTTTTTAATTTTTAGTCCTTTATTTTCCAGGCAGGATAATTCCATCATACTGAAAAGAGAAAAAATAAACAACATACAATTCCAAGTTTGTATAAATGAAATGCGACTGAAAATAAAACATATGAATGCCTGTCAAAGGGAGACAATCAGGTTTGCTTTGCCAAGCTATGAAAATTTATACATCAGTTATTTTTCAATTCTATTGGTGTAGAAGTATTCTGTTCAGTTTCCTTGTTACACTTGTTACACTTGTTCATTTTTCTAGTTAAAAGTTTTCTGGATATATCATTGAATATTTAACATAATATAAGTTGCATCTGATGACTTGCAAAGTAAAAACAACAAAAACACTGAACTCCCAGGAAAATTCAAAACGGAAAGTATGCACTTAGGGCTATTCCAGAAAAAAACAATATGGGGGGTTTGGAAGGCACTTCTTAATGGCCATCATCCATACAATTGCATTTTATTTTAAATACATAACCACACAATTTGTTAGTGACCTGCCTTCGCCCGTACAATAATAATTAAAGTGCCTTCAAACCCCATATATTTTTTTCTGGAATAGCCCTTACTCATTATTGGAAACCCTACCGGTGATTTTTATGGTGCAAGGTTTCAAGACAAAAAAGAATTTTCTAACTTTTGTATAGGCTGTCCCATATTCATTAGTATCCATAACTACCAAATCAGATAGTTCAGAGTTGCAAGCATGGTATTAATATAGCACAAAGTAAGTCAGGCGACAGAAACTGTTCTGTAACCCGTGCCAGTGTGCAGAGTATCTAAAATCTCTCAATACTAGGGACTAGAGCTTAGGCAGTAATTTTCTCATCTTTTTTACTGTATGATAACAGAACATATCAAAAATGGAAGTTAATTTAATAGATTGGAAGTTGGTTTAAAGTTTATTCAAGGATGGGAGGTTTATATTTTCAAATGAAGTATATTGTAAGGATTCCTTCTGTGCTAGATTTGACACTTTGAAAGTTTTAGTTTTATACAAGGTCATCAGTGACACTGCATAATTTTTTAAGAAAATTTAGTTATCATTGTGTATGTTGATGATACCTAATAGTATCAGAATTTCTCTACTGTGGACAGCCACCCCCTCCAAATTTAAAATGAAATAAACCTATAATATAAGTTTCATAAAAATCTGGCAAGAATTGTACATGTGAGAGCGCTAACAAGACCGGATGGACGGTATTTCCATGTCCCCAGCAATGAGTTACGGGGGGGATTTATTGATTGATTGTTAGTTGCTTAACGTCCAGTGGCAAATATTTCATGCATATTCAGGACGAGAACAAATAAACAATAAATTCATTAGGTAGGTTCTGTAATAGGGGCTTCCGGGATTATATCGGAGAAATTTAGACTGCCACGGGAAATGAGGGTATATTGGATAGGGACAGAAATTTAGCATTGCAACAGGTCACCTATGGACCCCTCAAAGAGTTGTTGCAAGGGTTCTTAACGTGCAAAGAGCGTAGCACTCTCTTTACACGAGGCATCTGATTTAACGTCCCCATTCTGACCGGACGTGGCTGCAAATTTGTACATCCCGAACAGCCAAAAGGACGCCCCACTTTAGCAACGGTTTTACTGCCGATCGGAGGAAGACCAATGGTGACCATACTTCTATTCCCCAGTCACCCTTGGGGGATGGGGGGAGGGGGGACAATAAATATATGTGTTGTTAATGATCATAGGTCAGCAACTTAATTATTTTTTTATTTGATTGGTAATGGTTTAACCTATGGAATCATTCGTATTGCATCTATCTATATTTTCAGTTAGTGTGGACATTTGTTAAAGTTTTTTTTGTCAATTATATTTTTACTCGCTTTTCAACAATACTTGTTGACAATGTTTAGCACTAAGCTTGCAGTTGAACAAAAACAAGAACGAGAAGAACATCTCTGTCAAGAACAATGACCGTGAAAATATAATTTAAACAATTTTCAGTGAAGTTAAGGTTTTATAAAATAAAGATGGGTCAGTGTATCGTAAACACACTGTTTCTTTTTTGCCATATACATGTCCAGGATTTATATTTTGTAAGCATTGTCAGCATCAATGACCTAGTTTTTTCTATAAATAGCTCATAATGAACTTTACCTTTTGTTGGAACCATTTCATTGATTCCTCTTTATAAACTTTATGGTTAGGTCCAATCTTGCTCTTTCTTCGGCGTCTTTGTGAGATGTTGAAACCTAAAATACCAGTAATTACTATTAGCAGACTCAATTAGATATATATCACATTACATAACATTGTTCTGACAAGTAGGCATAACAACACAGCTTTGAAACACTCCAGATTTTTTTACAAATATCAACAGTCTGTACTGTTAGCCACTAATGTGATGCCCTAGAATATTAAAACTTTATCCAGACTATTAAGTTTTTGCACAACTTTGTTTTGACACTTCTGGAAAATGTTGGAAGATTGGGACTTCAGACTAAGAGTTGGACAATATTTTGGTGCAGACTGATCATTGGATTTTCTGTAGCTAGATGCTATTAGTCGTTACTTGTACCAATTACACTGATATTCACTTTGATAAATCAGTGGATAACAGTTTTCATGCTTTTTGACAGTGCACCCAACACATTTTTTCATGTACTATCATATCAAATGCAATGGCCAAAATATATTTTTTTATGACTGAATAAGCATGACTTGATAAAGTTTAGTTTCCACAGTACCTTTCTAAAATTTCAGAATATTTAATTTTATTCACACTTCTGCTTTCCAAACCTAAGCAAGCTTTGTTCTATTTATTTTTCTTTATCTTGAAATCAAGTCAAAATGTAGTGTTTTCCTCAGAAATTTCTTGTATCATCCTGGTGAACAGGATATTATGAAATACCATCTTGTTTCTAGAAACTATAGCATCACATCTGTAACACTATCTGTAAGAAACTAATTTCAGATAGCATCACATTAGTAGTGACATTACCATGATGCTAAAAGGCCCTGGATAAACACTAAACCTAAGTTTAGCTGAAAAGGAGCTTACTTGAAAACAATAAAGGGGAGACAACTCCAATTTGCACAAAACCTAATAAATAACTGAATATTCCGTTTTCCTGATAAACTTCTTAAAACATATATCTAAAACCTGGAAAAAATTTACTGCATATTTCATTTATAAGCCTGCTTAACTTTATTTTATTTCTGTTTATATCTGTTGATTCATACCTGCTCTTCCGAGCACAATGTAGAAATCCATACCATAGATACCAATTCCAGGATCATACTTAATTCCTAAATCAATGTGTTCTTGAATACCAAAACCAAAGTTTCCAGTTTGGGAAAAGTTATTTTTCCTCAACTCGTATTCTCTAACCTGCAATAGAAAGATTATTTCGTGTTAGTATAATGAATGAAAAAATTAAAAATTAAAAATAATCAAAATGTTTTGTTTGCAGAAAAATAGTAATAAACTGCTTCGCTGAGCGCAGCTGGATATGCCCGCAGAGGTCCAACCCTGAACAGTTGGGGCAAAAATCGACACAATATTCAAGCTTGATACAGGTCTGAATTTGGATTGTAATTAAATATTTGACATATTATAGGTTTCTGAATAAATGTAGTCAAAGAACTTGAAATTGGTTATATGAGTAAAGATTTCTTTCTGTTGTGCAACACTGTGCTGTTGCGCAATACTAGTAAATCTTTTGTCAGACTATAAACAAATAAAGATCAATAACTTCTCAATGTTATATTAGAAATTTATTAAAAAAAACTAAAGGGAGGTTATCTTAATAGATATAAATCAGTCATCAAAGTTTAATGAAAACTGCTCTAAACACTTTAAGGATATTGTCCAAAAACTTGAAAATCACCCCTTTTTTTATGAATAAAATCTTGGAATTCTGAAACATAAAATCTAAAATTTATAAAATCAAAAGGGAGCTTACAACAATAGATATAAACAATTTACCAAAGTTTCATTAAATATGCTGAAAGCATTTTCGAGTTATTGTCCGAAAACTGGAAAATTCCCCTTTTTGTAACGAATAAAACCTCATAAATCAGAAACGTATAGTCTAAAATTCATAAAAATCAAAAGGGAGCTTATGTCGATAGCATTAAACAAGTCACCAAAGTTTCTTGCAAATTGGTGAAATTGTTTTTGAGTTATTGTCCGAAAACTGGAAAATCCCCCCTAACTCCAAAATTCGGAAACGGTAAATCCGAAATTTATAAAAAACGAAAGGGAGCTCACGTCAATAGATATAAACAATTCACCTAAGTTTCATGCATATTGGTAAAAGCGTTTTTGAGTTAATGTCCGACATGTTGACGACGGACAGTCAACGGTATACCATAATACGTCCCGTAAACGGGCGTATAAAAATTTGGTAAAAATTGAATTCCAAAATGTTCCAGTTATTTTGTATTCAAATCTACTTCATAAGATAAGAATCGAGTGAAAACATGGTTTTTATATAGCACAAAGTAAGTCAGGCGATAGAAACTGTTCTGTAACCCGTGCCAGTGTGCATAATGCTTAAAAAAAGTTTAATAAATACTTGAATAAAGTTTATTACAGCAATACAAGGCACTTGACAATTTGGTTGAATTCACAAATGACAAGTTATCAAAACCATGTTAACCAGAATATTAGAAAATTAATAACCAAGAAAATATAAACAAGGGAAATCCGAAACAACAACTCAGGTTGATGGATTAACTTTAAAAAGGAATATCTGTAAACATGAGGTGAATACCGTGATTCAAATAAAAAAAACCTCATGCTGAAGCTAGTTAATAATTGTGGACCAGTTATTGCTTGTGATTATGGTGTGATATCACTTTGATTTAGGATCCTGTCAAAAAACTTATAAGAATATATCTTTGAACAGAACATGCAGAAATATCTCAACTCTTTTAAATAGAGAAACTTTCTGATTCGCAAGTACAATGTTTGAAAAAAAAATGTAATGTTTTCTTCAAAAATAAGGTAAAAAGTAAGTTCAACATGTAATTATAATATATGTTCCATTAATTTAGTATCCAAATCTATTACATCATATAGATCCGAGTTGCAAACATGGTTTTTATATAGCACAAAGTAAGTCAGGCGACAGAAACTGTTCTGTAACCCGTGCCAGTGTGCATATATATTAAAAAAAAAACATTGTGAAATATTAAGTCCAGTCAGAGACATCTGAGAAAGTTCAAATGAGTTTGTGAGTTAATTGATTCAGGTTTACATGGTTAAACCTATAAGTTTTATAAATTTCCATTTTTCAACAACACTGACATCACATATCTTTTATGTGAAAAGTCAATCTAAATTATAATATTGATTTTAATGGTAGCGAAAATAGTATGGTGAAAACATGCAAGGTCACAAAGGCTTGTACATTTCTTGGGTGACTTTTTTACTTTCTAGTTCAATTTTAGTCCACTTTTCAAATGACTTAATTATGCTTATCCCCCTTGGTAGGACTTTCTACTTATCTATTATCTATTACAGGTTTCAAGCTATCAGTATCAGCATACATTTCATTTTTTAATACAAGTACAAATCAAGTTAAGATGACAAATCTTACAGGCTAAACATTCTTTATAGGATTCCAAAGTATGTCGGTCTTCCAAAACGAACCCTTGACTCATCTATCACCTCTGACAAATTATGAGTTCTTTTCATGATTTTACCAAATATTGGCTCTTTGACATATACTCCCAATCAGCTTATAGTCTTAAAATTAGGGCACTGCTTTATTAATCACATGCATTAGATTTTGAACTATTAGCATTTAAAACTGTTCACAAAATCTTTCGTTGACAAAGATAGTGATTTACAATATGTGAACAACAGCAGAAACAGGTAGATTTTGCTGAGGCCAAATAAAAATATGAGTGGTTCTAGTTACATTCTGAAAAAAAAGAGGGGGAATTGGTAGGTCGGCATTTTTTTTATTGTCAAAATCCAGAAAAAAATCGTGTGTTCACAGAGTCCTATTCCGGTATTATACATGCCCCTACCCGAAGTTTGCCATTTTCTATGTGTTTGGTGTAAAATAATCAGACATGTTATATGTTTTTAGTTAATTTTGTTGCATATTTAGCCGTAGTGGATACTTCTAATGGAACTTCAGATAACAGAAGTCTGTGAATTGAATTATTAAAATTCACATTCCACAAAATGGGATTATTCAAAATTTATTTTTAAGAAATAGAAAAAAGTTTTAGGGTCAGTCTGGTAACTGTAACCACACATGTATCTTTATTTGGCCTGATAAAAAAAAAACAGCTTGACATGGCTGACATTCTGACCTTTATATACACCTTTTTGAAAAAACATGTTCCAGTTAATTTTGTATCCAAATCTACATTAGATAAGAATCGAGTGAAAACAGGGTTTTTATATAGCACAAAGTAAGTCAGGCGATAGAAACTTTTCTATAACCCGTGCCAGTGTGCATTTTTTTTTTTATTATTATTAAAACTACTTGAAATCTGAAAATCAAACAAATTTAACATGTCATGATACCAATGTTTTTTCGGCAATAATCAATATTGTGTACTGTAAATTCAGAAATTATTGCGTGCATTTATTATTGCGATTTTGTCATTTTAGACTAAAATGCGATTTTAATTTTTGCGATATTGAGAAAAATCCTGTTTAATTCATACAAAAAAATTCAAAATGCGAGTTTAAATTATTGCGATTATAACCCGGTCGCATTTTGCGCAATAATAAAAACATCGCAATAATTTCTGAATTTACAGTAATTGTTTTACATAAACACGTGTGTTATAAGATTATCAGAAACTGAATCCAGAAAACAATGCTTTAACATTGTGGTTTGACATCTCAATTTTCATGTGAAATTCATGTATTGCATGGATTGAGACAACAAACCAGTTTTATTTTCACAAAAGCAGTTTAATTTGAGAGATCTAATAAACATGAAAAAATGATGAGACAAAATTTCTAACAAGTTGTGATTCCAGGCATTACATTAAAATCCTTTTACAAACACAGACTGATATCCGATTTAGAAGGCACCATTGTACACACTGTATTCACTGTCTATATACAAGTATAGTTTTAGAGTTATAGACTAACATTTTGTTTTTTAATGCAAACAAGAACGAAATTTAGAACCTTAAAACTTCATTTTACTTATTATAACAAAAGCTGACTTTTCATCTTGTCTTAACGCAGTAATCATCAAAATACTTGACAACATATCTAGAACTCAGAAAGACCTTGGAAAATGGGTCCCCTTTCATCAATATTTCTAATGCATTGTACATCACTAAGAAAGTTTGAAGCTGTAGAAGAATGATTGAATATATGTATTCAATACTTCTATAATGTATCATGTCCCATTTAGTTTAGTATCCAAATCTACTATATTAGATAGACAAGAGTTGCAAATATGGTTTTTATGTTGCACAAAGAAAGTCAGGCAACAGGAACTATCCTGTAACCCGTGCCAGTGTGCATAATGATAACTAAATAGCATAAACACAATAATTACAGAAAAGAAACAAATCTTTTCCTATTGTTAACAAAGAGACCTGCAATATAGATTTCTGGAAGAATATCAAGGATATGGAGTATTTATTGTTGACATAAAATCTTGAAATGCAGTACTAGACAGAAGTAAAGGAACAGTGCTTTTTATTGCTTATCTTCATCTCAAAATCAAACTTGGGCTTTCAAAACAGAAAAAGAAAGCTCAAATTTTCCCACTACAATTTCAAGGTGTCCCCCAGCACCAGTGTGCGTGGAATTCTTTGCAAGATTGTTACAACTACGTACTGAAGAACACAGCTGCAGTGTAGGTATGTTTAATGAATTTACAACTATAAAACAAAACATTCTAGATTACCTACATTTACACCTCCAACCTTGAAACTATTTAGACAGTCTTAGTATAATCAAACAAGTATACACATGTACCTTCAAACCTTTTTCTAAAATCTCTTCTGCCTTAGCTCCTCGGACAGTACAGTGTACAGCAATAGTTTCATTTCTTCTGATACCGAAGGACCTGACGGTATAACGTGCTGAAAGAACATAAACAGCTGTAATCTATCCACCAATATAGATAATTTATTGATGGGCAAAATGACATTTCCATAAACAAACATAACACAATTTAATACATTAAAAGTATCATGTCCAATTAAATTTAGTATCCAAATCTACTATATTAGATAGACAAGAGTTGCAAATATGGTTTTTATGTTGCACAAAGAAAGTCAGGCAACAGGAACTATCCTGTAACCCGTGCCAGTGTGCATAATGACATATATACAAAAGCAGGATTTCAGAGTTTTGGAAGTAGGACACACTTATAGGAAAAGTATGTGGCAACAGCAAACAAAAAGAGGTGAAATGTAGACGAGGGGTTTGCAGATTTTTGTTGGCACTCGGCAATTTTTGAAAGCTTTGCAACAGTATATGTTGTCCTCATTAGTGATGTAATTGTACAGATGATAAGGAATGTAATTTGATGTGGAGCATACTGAAAATAATTGACCTGCCATGGTTAGGAATATATTCATAGAGTAAAATGACACCTGTTTATAGATGTCTCCAGTGTACAAGCTTTTTTAAAGATAAGTTGGTGCTACTACTCTTATAATTGTTCACTTCACATTTATATTTTCATCGTTACCCACTGTATAACCAATTCATTAAAGTTGTTAAATCTCACACTGAGAACAAGCTAGAGAGAGTAAAACCTAGTTAAATGCTGATATTTTGATCAAATTATGAATTTGGTAGAACATGACAGCTTTGAGACAACATAAGATTTGAATGAGGCATTAAATTGAACTCTCAAAGCATATTAATAAATACATTCTATTGTATCTGTACCATAAACTAAAGAATATATGCAGTTGGACTTTTTTCATTTAAACTAGATTGTATATCATTAACTATTATACTCAAGTAATCAAAAAATCTAATAGAAATATAATTACATCAATTTTCTGATGATTTCTAATTACTGTCCCATGTCCATTGCTTGGAAAAATATAATCAATTACAATTAATTACAACTTCCCTATCCGTGCAGGCAACCAAGAGTAAATCCTAGTGATACCAATCTTTTGATCAGATAATGAACACTTAATGATGCATGTAAATGTAGTGTATGTAACTTTAAAGAAGTCTTGTAATACCTTTTGAGAGCACTGGGGTTTGACCAGTAAGCTGTTCAAGCACCTTGGCGGCACGGGTAAGTCGATCACCAGACTCACCAACACAAATATTAAGACAGAGCTTGACGATCCTAAGATCTCTCATAACATTCTTCTTTTTGTCTTTGTCCTGAAAATATTTTTAGAAAAATGTTTCAGAAATACATTGAAAAAAACAAAAATCTAAAGAAACATCTTATATTAAATGTGTGCACTTAAAAAGTTTATATTTACCTTTTGGCAAAATAACTACATGTACATGTTTACACCACAACATTAATGATTTACATGTACCTGTATACTGAGTGCAACTAGAAAGGTTAAATGCATAGTAGTATATAAAATTTCAAAGCACCAATAATTTTTTTTAATTTTTCTATAGGATCTTCATATCTGCCAGGTAAATTTATTCATTCTTGTCTATCCAGATGTCGGTCACAATTTATTAACTTACGAGAAGACTAACTGCAAACATGGCAAATGTGTCTTCAATGTACATTTCAATTCGTTTATGCTTGAGGTTTTGATTGGTGTTATACAATGTATTTGTAAATAGCACAGGGTTCGACACTAACGCTAGTCCGCTAGCCCGAGGCTTGTAAAAATTAGGGAGGGCTAGTAAAGTTTTCATCACAGTAGTCCAACGGGCTAGTCAAAATTTTGTTTAAAACTAAGAATTTCACAAAATTTTGATTGTCAACAAATCCCAGATTTTTTGCTGACCTTTGCTGTCTTTATTGTACAGTTTATTCACGTATATATTTTGATTGTCAGACATTTTTTAACATGAAAGGTACTTTTTGGGGAGGGGAAAGAAACTGAAACAATGATGGTACTTAATACATTGAAAACCATGTGTGTTACAAACGCCGTGATGATTCTAATCAGAAACCTGGATCTCAAAAGTGCTTTCATAATATCAAAATAATAACATGCATGATGAATACGAAATTTACATACATTACTACCGATACCATCACTGTTTGGCAAAAATGTACAACTTATTGGGAGGAATTTTAAGCCATTTTTTTAGTAATTGGGAATTTTCTCTAGGAAAAAAAAGCTGTATTTCGAATGTAATTTGAGGCAAACAATATCACTAAATTATTGTCATAAAAACAAAATTATAGGTCTCTGCAAGGATTTGTATGCTATACAATTCCTTGGTCTCTGGTAAAACTATACAGATTTTTAGGAATAAAATCTTGTCCTGCAGAAAAATAATAAACTGAAACAACAAGGGAAAAGACAATGAAAGAAGGAGTCCATGAAGAATTATGACAAAAAACAGCAACATGAGCAAGGGCAAACCTTTCCTCTTTTGTGGGTGTATTTTTAAATCCCTAACTTATCCATCTTCATTAAAGACACTAGAAATAATGATAAGTAAAATGAGGATGATGATGAAGTAATGATCGAAAGGGGTCTTCAAAATAAGTCTAACATTCTTAATATAGATGATTAAAATATGAATTTTTTTTGGGGGGTATTTTTTATTAGCAAACCAGTGAACTTTCATGAAACAAAACATGTTCAAAACCCTCTGGAAATGCTCCAGAACACAGGATTTAGCTTCGTTCTTATCAAAATTTTCTGGGGGGCATGCCCCCAGACCCTCCTAGACAGGGTCGTGCCGATGGCACGACCATCCAAGTGCCAACTTGGAGGACTAGTCAATTGACAAGAGGACTAGTAGAATAATAATTTCACTAGCCCTGCAGGCTAGTACATACATTTAGTTAGTGTCAAACCCTGAAGGCACCTTTGATGTGTGGTTGTTGGTAAAATTTACCAGAATAAAGTTAATTGGGCTTGAGAAGGGATTCTGTTGGCACCACATCAGAAAATTACTTTGCACTCAATCTAAATTTGATAGAACTATTTAGACTGGAACTTAAAAAAATAGTATATTGCATTACAGGTTGAGAACAACCACTCAAATGAAGGATAACCCCTCAAAGTAATGACTATCCCTTTTATGTAATTTTTAAGTACAAAATTAAAGGGCACATATTTATGTTATTTGCAGAAACTTTTCCCAAAGAACGAAAGGTCTATCTGGTATTATATCGACAAAACATGTCTGAATTTTGGAATCTTCATGGACTTCAATCTTCTTTGTCATTGAAAATAAGCGGGCCCCCCTTTTAGAAAAGTAGTTCCAAATATAATGAATTTTCCCCTTTTTAAGTTAAAAACACAAAATTTTTCTATTTTACTGCAGCAAAATAACCCCTTGCCTGAAGGACAGTCCGTCGTTTAATGATGTCCCTCATTTGGGGGGTTGTTCCCAACCTGATGCCAGTGATGGGCCACATACTGACTCCTCAGAGGGATTACACAGGTTCTTAATATCCAAAGAACATGGAACTCTACACCAGGCATCAAATTTACATTAACAGTGTCAATCTAACCAGACATGACTGCATAAACATACACCAAGAACAGCCAAACATCCCTCACTAAGGGCTACTAAGCCTTAAGGCAAGAGTTTAACTTTGACTGCTGGACAGAAGTGCAAAAGTGACAACATTGCTGTTTCCCATGTCAACCTTTGGGGGTTCAAATTTGATACACACAATGTCATAGTTCCAATATGTCGTTCGAATGATGTAACTAGAAAATCATGACTTTCATTAATGTGATGCAGTGGTACTTTAATAGTTTGCATTTGTCACAAGACCAAGTGGGGTTGTCTATTATCCCTCACATTTACGACTGTGAATTACCGACATTTAACACATGCTTGCGACTATAATGAATAACTCTCGATGGACCATTGTAATTCTAAACACTGTTATTGCTTCAAACTAGTCCAGTACATTTAACGTCACATTTTTATCCATAAATTTACCCACGTCGACTGTTTAGGATTTGTACAACTCGACTGATCAATTAGTTATGGGACAATTATTATATTCACGCTTTGACATCTTATACAGTAACTTATAAGGGGGATTAGAGCTTTTAATATTCATTAAATTTCGAGGATGACGGCTGATTTCAACACATGTAAAATTTGTAGACTAACCGCCATGATGAAAACAACAGGAAAAGGAAGCTGTTGTGTTTACACTTTATATTCATAGAATTCTTATTAAATTGAAATCTTTGTGAATTACATACTTCTTAGTAGATTTGGTATCAAAAAGTATGAATTAGTTATAAAAATGAATTAAAATATAACTTAATAATTACCGGAAGTGTAATCACACGTGATTAATGGCCGGAACCTTCATAGCAACAATAACAACTAATCGATAGATCTTGAAAATTCGTGCTGAAATCATGAGTTCAAATGGTGATTCAGATAATGAAGGACCGACTGTTGATTCTGAAAATCCGGAAGAGAGAGTTGCAGCCAGAAGATTGCGAATCACACGTAGAATAGAAGCTGCTAAGAGGTTATTCGTTTATTTGACCCTCTCTTCAACCATGTCAACATAATTCTCAAAATTCACTATAGTTAACAGGTTTTAATTTCTGCATGGACATTTTTGGGGGATTGCAGGGGCTGATCTGGCTCCCAAAAAGTTGGCCAGATTAGAAAACATGGAGCCAGCTAGGGTCCTAATTTCCTCTACCCAAATTGAAATCGCATTCAATTTAAATTTCTTAATCTTATGCACTGAAATTCACTTAACTTTAAGTGATTATTTAATTGTCATGTAATGTATTGCACTGTTATTTTATGCTTCTTTTTCCTTTCTGTGAAAGAACAAAACAAACAGGTTCTCTGACACTAGGATTTTGAAGGCTTTAGTCACGTTTGCATGTCAGACCGACCTTTTTTGGGTAGCAGCTTTACATAATAGACTAAGTTAGTTATAGCATAGGATTAAATTCATGAAAAAAACATGTGTACTTTTATTTTCTTTGTCAGCATTTCATAAGTATACAAATAAAAATATAACAATAAAGATTTAATAAACATAACAGCTGTTTTTATTTGATTGTGAATGTCTCCAAATAGAGACTAATGGGATTTATATAATGACTCTATTGATCAATGTGAGGACAGGCAAAGACATATTACGACTGAATTTAACATTTTTAATGGAATGCAAGTGAAACGATTTTTTAAAAATAGTTTATCATGGTTTTCGTGTCTCTGTCAATAACTTTTTCATCATGAAACTACAGTAAATGTTGTCATATGAAAATTTCTTCAATAAGAAATGACAAATACAGACTGATCGATTCTATATGAATGAAGTAATGTTGATGATCATTAATGACCCATCGGATAATCAGATTACCTGTAACAACAGATTATGACGCCTGTTGTGACGGTTGAGTAGCTTGGGTCGTAAAAAAGTCATAAATTTGTCGCCAGATGAAATAAAAAATAGCAAATTGCAGTTTGGTCCCTGTTTGGCACAACCCAAGCTATGACAAGTTCACATTTTAAGCTTGTTATTCATTTTCTGTGGGTCATCCAAATTGACAACAAAAAAATAACCAAGGCCAAATTTAATTCATGGAATTTAGAAAAATGAAAAATAGAAAATATTTGATTTTTATCGAGACTAAGGGGCAAATTGCAATATAGCTTTGATATTTTAGGGCTGAAAGAGGAGAAGATTTAGACGATGCAAAAGAAGCAAAAGAAGAACTAAGTAAGAGCAGAAAACAGATAGAAGCAAGTCGACTTCGTTTAACTAAGTTAATTGAGGATGGTGTTGAACTGGTCACTAATATACGTGTTGGTTGTGATGCAAGGGAGGCAGCCAGGCGAACAGATGAAGAGGTTAAAAAACAGGACAGGTAAAAATAACCGAAAGATAATAAACCACTGACATGTGCTTGCTTCAAACTTCCTTGTCTAGAAAAGTGAGAAATAATCAAAAGTAATTTCAAATTTCCCAATTGTTTTTTTTCCCCCAATCTAATAGAAGATATTGTTAAATTAAGGTTTTCAGGGATTTACTAAATTTCATGTGAAATTAAAATGTTTGTGCAGATTTATGTGCTAAGCAAATCCGATGATCCAGCACAACTCATTGCAGGAAGTTAATTATTCCCCCCTTTTATTTATGTCACCTGTCTTATTTGTTCTAATAATGCTATCTCACTTATTTCCCGTTATTTTTATCTATTTGATAATATTGTTATTGTTACTGAAATATAAATAATCAGTAAATCTTGTATTTCATATATGGATTTGTAACCAATGAGGAAGGAAAATATTGACAGAACTTTTTTTTTTATTAATTTACATTTACTATTGTGTAACAATAATAATGAAAAGATTTTTTTTACAGAAATGGTAAACTTAAGCATGAAGGGAAGACAATGGCTGAAAAGTTTGAAAATGTAAGATTTGAATTCATAACATAAGGCCAAAAACAAATATATATGTCTGTTTAAGGTTACATCATTAACAAGAAATAGGATAGGTAGGCAGGTATTTCCATTTTATTTTTTTGGGACATGATTTTGAGTTGTGCGGTCCATCTTGCCATGGGCCAAGCTTACTCATTTTTTAATGATTGGATTATTTCCCTTGGTTATTGGTTGGAAAAAAATTGTGGCAAAGTTTTTATTTCATCACATGAGTAGCAAATTTCCTTGAAACATCTGTCATATTCATGATTGTTAACATTGGGATGTATCAGGCAATTGAATAAATTTAATGAAAACTCATAACTTTATAGGGTTGGCGCTTAAATTAGGGTCGAACGGGTAACAGTAAACAGACATATATTTTTTTTCCCTAATTAAGAACATCTATACAAGACTATTATATTGCCAATTTAAACAAATATTGTGGAGTATTCATCAATGTTTTTGTTAGCTTTTATCTGTTTTGTAGGAGTAATTGAAAACATGATTAGTTGTTTTTGAATATATCAGTTGGATGTGTTTTTTCCAAACCTTCCGCAATATTCAGTCATTTATAATCTTCAATTTTGGTATTTTGTTAAAAACGAAGAGATATTGTAGTATATGGAAACGAGACAATGCAACAGATGTATATAGATATAAGAGTGAGGCCTCCAGGTGCGAGATTTTCTTGTGTTGAAGACCCATTGGTGGCCTTAAGCAGTTTACTGCTCTTTGGTCGGGTTGTTGTCTCTTTGACACATTCCCCATTTCCATTCTCAATTTTATGTGAATAGATGTATTGTACATATAAAAATTGATCAAGGAAAACTTACTGAAAAGTTTTCACCTGTACCATTTTTTGTACTCTCAAAAAGCTGTGATTTAAAAAGTACATAATTTTGTGGATTTGTACTTTGGTACAACGTGGATGATAGAGAATTCACATTAAAATATAGTTTGCTTTCTTTTTCAGATTACAAAGAAATGGGAATCAGCACTACAAAAAGAAATTCCACAATCATTAAGAGCTGTAAGTCATACCAGAAAACACTAATCTGTCAATCATTTGTCTTGTAGATCGTCCCTTCTATTTAGATTTAGGGGCCTTGGTGGCCGAGTGGTCTAAGTAGTCAAACTACTGTATCACTAGCCTGTCAACACTGAGATTGTGAGTACGAATCCTGCATGGGCCAGGTGCACACGACTCCAATCTTGTATGTTTTCCTACTGAAGGTTGATGGTTTTTTCCATGGCACTCCAGCTTCCTCCACCAATGAAAACTGACCACCACGAAATAGCACAATAGGGTTGTGGCTTTAAACATCAATCAATCTATTTAGATTTATTGATATCTGTGTTATTTTCACATCAATATTTGATATACATGTAATAATAAAATAAAGAAATTGTAAAAAAAATATACATTTTAATAAAAAAAATCATAAGTTATTGACAATTCAGTTTAACTTACCGATATTTTTTTGTGAAAAAAAATTACTGTCAGGTGCACTGATAACTAATGATACACTTCTGATCAACAGTGACCGCATCCTAAAAACACCATTTAAACAAACTTTTATAACTATGAAAGAGCAAAATTCTAATTTTACATCTGCTACAATCTGACAATGACATAATATTAGATACCATGATAATTTGAAAAAAAACCTATGTAATGTTAGCAACAATGGATTGAAAGTTTTATTGTATAATGCTGAAAAAAAAACACGTTCTAGGTATGAAAATTGTCCAGAGTTGTCTACCTTTATTTTTTAAACTTTAAATTGTGATTTATATGTACATGTATGCCGAAGAACTTGTATAGTTATTAAAATAGATGTTTTGCTTACTTTTTTAGGAATTAAAGCAGCAGAAAGATTCCTGTGACCAGTTGGTATCAGACAAAAATAAAATCATCAATGATTACCAGAAGGTAATGTAGAACAGGGGGAATTACTGAAAACCAAATATCTTTTGCAAGAGAGTGATTTTTCGCAGCTTTTGCCAGTAGGACAGCAACCCAAACATATATATCATCACAAATTTGTCCGACTATGATTATTCTATAATGAACACATGTTGTCTGCTCTATGGTCGGGTTGTTGTCTCTTTGACACATTCCCCATTTCCATTCTCAATTTTACATCAACCAAGTAATGAAATGTGAAAATTAATCATCACAATGCCCGATAGAAATGCCTTAGCAAGAAAAAAAAGTATCTGCAAAAATATGTTGGTTGTCAGTAACAAATTTGAATAGAGACAACATAGAAAATCTTACAAGAGAGTGACAGTACAAAAGTCTTAGGCTACCTGTAGTACATGTAAGGTAATTCGGTCAAAAATCTATCCCTTAGGTACTTTGTATACATGTAAGATTAGGTTGTACATTAAGATTAAGAGTGATCCCTTCAACTTACCCTCAATCACCCTGTTTCATAGTGAGGTTGAATTGACAGTGTATTGTGGATCATGTTGCTCAGTCTAGTTTCTGTATATTTATTTGTAATAGAAAAACAAAGGATATGAAGTATCCATCCATGACACAAAATCAGTACATGCATTTCAGAAAACACACAAAAAGCGATCACAGGCCTTCAAGACGGAGCAAAAAAAACCCAAAAAACTCTCACCTCACTGCAAGTTTAAGATGGCCGTGGTTTGAGCGGAATTCTTTGCAAAAGGATTCAGATAGGCTTTGTTAGATGCATCCCCATCAAATCAGACCGGTAAAAAAAAATACAGGAAAGTAGTACATATTTAAAACAAAATAGTTGCTACGCATAGGTGTAAATATATAACTATGTAGAAAATATTTTAGTTAAGGTATCAAATGAGAGGTGAAGGACTGGTGATCCTTGTAGAACACATATTGACTGATAATTTTGAATAATACAAAAATGTATGAATGAATTTTAAAATAAAGGGCATATATTGCCTGTTTCTCAGATTTTGTAGACTTTTGTCTTTTCCTCATTTTTCTTTTTGACCATGGTATGGTCTGTTTTCTTCTTAGACTTATGATTTTATCATCTCCTTAGTAGCTTTTGCCTCTTTTTTTCAACTAGCTGATTTTGAATATATATATACACTGCCCAAACAAAAATATAACCACATCAATTTCTGAATATATATATATACACTGCCCCAACAAAAAATAAAACCACTGCTATTTCTGACACACACTGAATTTTTATTAGGTCCTTAAAGAAAAAGATGATTCCCATGTGAAAGATCTGAAGAAACAAGCAGAAGATATAGAACTGATGACAGCTAGAATGGATGAACAAATAGCCTCACTGACTAAGGCTTATAAGGAAGAATTGAGAGAAATTGAGGTAGAGTTATCTCCCATTATTTGTAGCCATTTTGTAGATAAACCAGTGATGTCTGACTATTTTACAAAAACAATAATTTTATGCAGTCTTTAGGTTATTTTTTCTATAAAAAAACACAACAAAAACAAACAGTTGTGAGATTTGTTAATTTAGAAATTTAATTTATTGTTATAGGAAACTAGAATAGCTTTTTTTTACATAATTTTTTAATAACATATCATTGCATTGTATTTTCAATTATTCTTTATATTATGATAACTTTATTAATCATGTTAAAGATTGATGATACTAACAATTTTGTTATTTTAGATGTGTGTGTTGTGGTTTCAAAATAAGAAACAACAATCGTTTTAAATTTATTCCAGTATTTACAAATAGAACATTTGCAACTGTCTCTTATTAAATTAAATGGGTTTCTTCCCCCCCCCCCCTTAATTACATTTAACAGACTTTTAATATTCCATATAAAATCCAACAGCAGGTCGCAAACTATTTTTAGAAGTCAATCCTTGAATAAGATATTTTTATTTTCTAATTTCATAATAGTTTCTGCTCAAAGGGAGATAATCTAAGTAAATTTTTATGAAATTAAACATATTTTATTTGCAAAATATCACAAAAAGGATTAGACACAAGTTAGTCCAACTTAGATAATCTTCTCCTAATGAACACACTTATCTAAAACATATTAGCATTTATTTTAAGTAATTTCAGTGAACAGTATTTTTGTACATTTCAGAATGCATTTACAGCAGAAAGAAATGAATTGTTGGAACTTCAGAAAAAGAAGTGGGAAGACAAGATGGAAGGAAGGAGACAGAAGGAAATAGAATACATGAAAGGTCGTGAAAAGCGTGTTGAGGATTTTGAAAATTCAATTCATGAAACCAGAATTAAAGATTCCGAAGAATATAATGATATTAAAATTAGCCTGGAGACAAATATTCAGGTAGACATGATTTTCCAACTTCTAAATCCACAACTGTACATAATATTGTCTTACAGACATAGTTCATTGATTTATTATGTAGAAATTTTAACCAGTTATCTACCATTTTATCCTTTTTGGGAATGTTCAAAATCTTTAATTAATAAAATTGAGAATGGAAATGTGGAATGTGTCAAAGAGACAACAACCCGACCATAGAGCAGACAACAGCCGAAGGCCACCAATGGGTCTCCAATGCAGCCAGAATCTCCCGCACCCGGAGGCATCCTTCAGCTGGCCCCTAAACAAATATGTATACTAGTTCCGTGATAATGGACGTCATACTAAAATGCTTGTTTGACGGATTGTTCTAACCTAGTATTCTTTGTATTGAATGAACCTTTTTGACCAAGTTTTTGTGTACAGATTACTTTTCTTAGCAGTAATACATTGAAACATTGCTCTTTTTAACATTATTTTGACATTAGTTAAAATTGACAATAAAATTGGATATTCTAAAAGGGCTGGCAGACTTAAGAATAAAGTCATGAAAGTCATTTTATTAGTGTTTTTAAATTAAGATTTTTTTAATCATTTTTCCTAGCAAAAAAAAGACTAAACTTATTTTCCAGAAATTTTTCCCAATATCTTTCTTTGTTGAAATACATAACAGATTTATTTTCTCCAGATACTTGAACAACAGTTACAACAGATGAAAGCAACATACCAACTCAATCAAGAAAAACTAGAGTATAATTACCAAGTCTTAAGAAAACGTGAAGATGAAAATAATATAACAAGATCACAACAAAAGAGAAAGATCACAAGACTCTCTGATGTGTTGAGTGGACTGAAGATAAAACTAGCAAAACAGGAAAAACAGTACAAGTAAGTTTTCTATTGCAAACATATAACATTTATTATTGTCCTTCTTTTCACAGAACTCCGTCCCTCTGCAATTCTCTTCTCAAGACTTTGAGATGTTGATAGACATTATCGGTGACGTAACAATGTCTGAGGAGATGTTTTAATGCCACTTTTTATTCCACAAGGTGTTATGAATCTTTCTTTAGTAATCATTTTATTCAATTGTTGGCAAGACATTAGATGGTCAAACACCAGTATCAGAGTATATTTATTTGATCATACATCAGGGAGCAGACTAAGTTTAGGTACAAAATGTATCGTGGATGAACTGCCATATCTCCTTGTTTTTGACATCTTCAGTCATTCCCAAGGTCCGTCAGACATGGCAATGTCCAGTAATGAATGGTTTGGTCCAGTAAAATGTCTTTAATTACTGGACCAAATGACCAGTGTAGATTTAAGAATTTTGTAATACTCATATTGTAAAGGACTGCTAAAACATTGACTGGACCAGTAATGCTTGAACATTTACTGGACCAAAAGACCACTGAGGTCCAAAAAACATTTGGAACCTCTGCAGTCTTATCATGATTTTTTTCTTCTGTTGACAGAGATGAGAATACACAGCTGAGTGATGACTATAAAAGAATTACAGAACAGTTCAGAGATTTACAAAGGAAATCAAGGTAAGCACTAACAGGGTTGAAGACCTCCTACATATGTTTATAGATAGCCCTTATTATAAGAAAACTGATTTTAAAATTTTTTGTAATATAACTTTTCAAAAGTATACTGATAAACTTATTTTAGCTAGCGATTTGTTTTTGCTTCATTCGCGAGTTGGAAAATAACACCAATATAAATTGTTGTGAATTGTAAAACTTTTATTTTTATCTTCCCCTTTATAAATATGTCATGAAAATTAGAAAATCATGAATATAAATCGCTGCAAAGTCGGCTAGAAATAAAGTGTGTAAATATAAGTTGGCTTTTCAGTACTTTATTTCTTGGTTTTGTCAGTAAAGAAGGAATAAAATGTTTTTTTTTAATTGAGGTTCAGTTACTATATTATTTTAGCAAGATGCCTTTTGTAATTATGTTAAATTATCTTTATTGGTGGCTACAAATATATAGACTGAAAAACTATGTTCAATATCACAAAAGCTAAAATTGAAACTGCATTAAAGCGTAAATTGTCTGTCCCTGGCAGTATTTTTTTTACCAGTTAAAACTGAATATAACTGTTGATATCTTTGCCCTGTGTAGCACATCCTGTTTGCAGACAATATCTTTTGAATGTGCAAAATTAGAACCATTTTATCATGCCATATATTTTTTATTTTTTATTTAATCTAAGGTAAATACCAGTGTCTTGAATAATCTTGCATACTCTTCAATATTCAATAAATATTTTTTTTTACTTTGTGCTTCATTTCAAACCTTTGATATGTTTTATTTTTCCAGACACTTCATGCAAGCTGATGCAAAGAAATTTCACGACGTATGGTGTATGAATGAGGAGGAATGTAAAGAGTTAGCCCATGGTGTGTTGGAAGCTGACAGAATTGTATTTGAGCATCAACTAGGACTGAAATACCAAACTCCTGATGTGTAAGTCAACTAATTGATGTAAAAAACAGCTCATTATACAAATAAAATGATGTTGTAGGATTGCCAATGAGACAACTATCAACGAGAGTCTAAATGACGTAAATATTAGCAGCCATAGGTCAATGTATGGCCTTCAACAATGAGCAAAACCAATACCTTATAGTAAGCTATAAAAGGCCCTGACATGACAAATGTGAATCAATTCAAATCAGAAAACCAAACATACTGATTTATGTCAAGACAAATAACAAATATAATAGATAGCAACCAACGACATCTACTGAATTACTGGCTCCTGACTTGGAAAAGACACACAAAAATTGAGGCAGGATTAAACATGATAGTTTTGTCTTTTCCAGCGGGCCTAAATGTGAATCCCAATTCTGCTCAATCAAATAATTTGCCTTGAAGTTCAAAAACAATTTGTACAAAAAAACTTAACCTAATTGAAAGATATTGTATGTTTAATTCTTATGATGAACAAATGCCATTTTGACCCCACAGTGAGACCATCTAGAGTCCCCAGTAGAGGTGTTGCATAGTCCCTTCAATGATGGTTGCAAAATTACAATATCAACATGAACTGTAGTGTTAACTAATGGATGTAAATAAAACTTTTTATGCAATTTTCTGTTTGATTTTCCTATTTGACAATAGCCTGATGTTATTTTTTCATATTTTAGAGCATTCTTAGAAAATGTAGGACCCCTCAACATTGATGAAAGTAAAAAGAGTGGTGTGTCAGCTCACCAGATTGTTCAGGAAGTCATGTCTCAAACAGGTAGGAATATAGGGATCTATAGAAAGGATGCAACACTTGCCCCCACAAAAAAAAGGAAGGAAATTAAAAGAAACTTAAAACTATATTATTTATTGAATGCCAATAATAACAAAAGCTATCTCTGAATGTCCTGGTAATTATGTTTTACAACTACTTTTCATGACTAGGATTGTCACTAAGTTAGTTTTTCTACTGAAGGTCAGTGGTTCTCTCCAGGCCTTCCTCTATTAAAAAAACTGACTGCCACAAAATTGCATAATAGTGGTGAAAGTGGCGTGAAACACCAATCAATACTTTTTATGAAACAAAGAACATATTTTAAATCCTTGTAAAAATAAGGAGATGTAAGTACTATCCCTGTGAGCTTTTTTACAGAATTTTTTTATGAAAATTAAATAAACTTTGATTCATGCAACTCTGAGATGAGATCCTTGCTAGATCATAGTGATGAATTTCGCAAGGCTTAAGCAAGTTTAAAGTGTTCAGAAAGGATCTTTACCATAAGTCTTGCAGTCAGTATAACAAATTGCATTTGGTTGATTTATGAAGGAATTTGTGCACATTGACCTCCCACATGACAGCTAAGGGAAAATGACTGTTTCTCAAATAACACCAATAGAAAACTATCTATTTGTAAATATATTGGTAGATTGAGTTGTTGGACATGCACAGCTCATTACTGCTTGTAAATAAACCTACTGTTAGTTTAACCTAATAAATGATAGTAACTATAAGATTTTAATTTCAGCTGGAAGTCAGGTTGAAGAACCAAAAGAAGACGACGATGCTGATAGTATACCAGCAGACCGGAAACCAGTTAAAAGTACTCTGTTGTCCAAAATTAATGCCAATGTCATTAAGTCAATACTGGAACTACTATGTGATGAATCGGTAATATTGTTAATTGGTTATTGTGTCATGTTGTGTCAATGGATATTGTGTCATTTTTGTGTCAATGGATATTGTGTCATTTTTGTGTCAATGGATATTGTGTCATTTTGTGTAAATGAATATTGTGTCATTTTTGTGTCAATGGATATTGTGTCATTTTGTGTCAATGGATATTGTGTCATTTTTGTGTCAATTGATATTGTGTCATTTTGTGTCAATGGATATTGGGTCATTTTTGTGTCAATGGATATTGTGTCATTTTGTGTCAATGGATATTGTGTCATTTTGTGTCAATGGATATTGTGTCATTTTATGTCAATGGATATTGAATACAAATTATAGAATAAATGTTGAAGTACCTGTTAATCATAATATTCTAAAGTAAAATATTAAATCAAGTAAAATGTCTTCAGTATCAACAAACAGAACGTATGAATTGTTATACAAAAAAGAATTAGACAAACAATAACCTACAAATATAACAAATCATTGAAAAAGTAGAAGAAAAAAAAAACTCAGTCAATAATATTTGATATATTTATTTTTAAATGTTTGGTGTTCAAATTGTGGAAAACACTTTTTGAGTAACCATTAAAAATTTTGATATTGTGGTAAATCAAGAGAAGTATAGCTTTTATAAATGATTTCATTATAAGAAATTCATTATTTTTTGAATATTTTAGAATCAAAACACAAATATTTCAAATTTTGATTTTATCTCAAATTGTCTGTTACGTATCTTATTCAGTTGAGATTGATTGATTAAATATTAGTTGCTTAATGAACATTATTGAGGGAAAGCAGGATTTGATTAAGAAAACTTGGCAGTAAGCACACTTAAATAGTACAAAGCAAGTGTATTCATATGAGTTTAAAATTTTGTTGTTCTCAATCTATGCATGTAATATTTGTCACTGGATTTCAAGACTACATCAATTGATCAATCCTATACTATATAACTTTTTAAATAGTCTATTCTGTTTGCAGGGATATTTAGTGGAACAGAAATTAAACAAATTATTAACACCTCTAGAAAAAGACGAACGATCACTGATGAAGCTGGATGCTATATTTACAGTAAGTAAACAAACTTGAATTGCGCCTTTAAATAATTAAAATAATCTTCATGTTGTGTCAGATAGCTTATGAAATTCGATATGTTTATCTGTTTCTATTTTTCAACCGAACTGCAATGTGATTAAAACAAGAGCATACTTACGTCCTAGAAGTTCTCATCATTGGTCAAGGCTATTCCATTAAAATTGATGTAGGAGAGGATTTCTATTATCCCCCAATACAACCAACATATTTTTGGGGTAATTTTACATACATAAAATGGATATACAATGATAAGGGTTCCAATAACTTGTGTAAAAAAACATTCATTTTATATTCGATTAATAAAAAATAGAACTCAGAAGTTTTGATATTGGCAAAATGTTTTGGTCAAACTTGATACATTATGACATCATAGAGCTCTTTTGTACATTGTGCAAATGATTTCCTCTTCATCTTTTACAATTTTTACAGTTGTGTATGCAGGAATAAAAATGCTTTACAATGTTTCTCTCCCACATCTCATCGTGAGACTGTCACCCTTCAATAAGATTTCCTGTGAAACACCCTCTAGTTTGAAAAAACATCAATAATCTATAAATATTAGATATGATACTGTTGAGAGTTATAAATATACACTTTTACAGGCTTTAGGAATAGAAACAGAAGAAGACATACATTTATTATCCAGTTACTTCATGCATGTCAAGGGAGGAAAACCACAACAGACGGAAGAGGTAATTATGTTGTATTTATTTATTATGATGTAAGATGTAACATTTCTGTTGTAATTTTATTCTGACAAGAAGCATCAAGCATTTTATTTCTGAGTATTGTTTCTAAGGGCAATGTTTATCAAATAGAACACACCTGAGCAGGTGTACTGAGTTTAATATTGGATTCAGAGGAACTTGCCTTATCATATCCATTGTAGTGATAAAAAGTTGACGCATTAGGGAATTATTTGTGATAAGATTTAACATGCTATAATGACAATGTAGTATTTCAAGTTATATTTCATTGATGAGCTGCTTCATGGAAACATAAAAGTTTATTCATGCATAGAACCATTTTATGATGTCATAAGTATGAATTCTTACACAGGCTAACTAGTTCTTTGTTCAGTTTGTGAGTGATTCCCCACAAATTTTAAAACACTGATTAACCCCTTCAAAATATTTTTTAATAAATCAATTACTGAATTTTTATTTTCAGAAAGAAACTGATGAATTTGATACACAAACAGACATGACAGGGGAGGTAATTATTACTGAATTATTGTTTTTTCTTTGTTTGCTCAAAACAATTTTTATGTAAATAAGAAACACATCAATATATTAAATGTATTTTAATTCCATAGTATTCTGACTTTTAACTGTTTGATCAGAATCCACACTGTTTGAGAAGCATTTGTTCAACAGTTCATAAGTTATTGCAGCGAAACGACATAAAGTGACATTACCAGTTGATAAAAATTCTGTAGTAATGGTATTAATTTTCGTAATCTGACAAATGAATCAAAAACTGCTGGAACACCCTTAAAATAAATTTCATTGACCTTTTAAAAACCAATGAGAAAAGTTTATTATTTGCATGATTAATAGACTCTTTGACAGTTGACCCTGTAATTAAAGATCTATTTGTATAAGTTATTTCCTAAATGAGGGACATAAATTTAATTGACGACGAAGAGCTAGTGGAAAGAGCATATTTATCTGTGTGTAGTCTGTAATTTTTTCAATCTTTTAATTACATTTAATCTTTTGTTAAACTAAAAACCTTTGATATCAATATTTATTTTTCAATTAAAATTGGTTGGAACACCTATATATCACTTTCAACTTACCATGCCTTGCACTGGTAGCAGCTTGTCTGTTTAATTAGAACCAGTCTACAGTTGTCAAAGGGAAACAACTTGTGTAAATGGGTGTAATCAGTGATTGTTATGTCTTGATTATCTTTACAGATGGAAGATATTGATGAAGAGATTCGTAAACTGACCGGCAAAGAAGGTGATAATGTGTCAACAAATAGTGAATCTATAGAACTGATTCATCCAAACGAGGTGCTTAAAGGTCTGAGGGCATTTGTGGAGGAAAATAAACAACCTCCAAAGTAAGTTCCTGTAACAATAAGCAGATGTGGTATGATTGCCAATGAGACAACTATAGTTCAAATGGAGAAGAAATAGGCATGTATAGGTCACTGTACGTCCTTCAAATATGAGAAAAACTCATATCACATAGTCATGCAGCTATAAAAGGCCCTGACATGAAAAATGTGAAACAATTCAAACAAGAAAACTAACAGCCTAATTTATAACAATACAATTTACGAAAAACATATATGACCGACATGACCCAACAATAACATATTTACAAATGATAGAATGTGATTGGTTTGTTAGAATTTTTTCTTTCGCTGATGGTTTACACTTTTAAAGATCATGTTGTAGAAACTACTTTTGTTACCTTTGTAAACACTATGCTGATTTGACTATGATATATTCATGCACAATACAACAGTTCACAGAACGTTGAAAATGAAAAAAAAAATAAACTCAACAAATGTTTGGGTTGAAAATTATTTGCATTAAACACATTTTTTTCTAGTGGTAAATGACATGTAAACTGGACTGTTGGCTCACAAACTTTACATTATAGTCCTACAGACTTTTTTCATGTTTTGACCAAGATTCATAACTTTATTAAATGAAATTTGGATTTGTAGAGAGAAAGGAAAACAATCTCATTTCAAGATCCAAGCTTTAGAAGAAAGGGACAGTTCACAAGACTCAGAATATTGGTCCAGATATGCTAAACTGATAGATACACCAAAAGAAAGACTATGGGATGCATTGATAGAAGGCCTAGAGAAATATAGGTTTGTATTTACTGTTTATAATTGTGTCCATTGTGTCCTATTCCCAATTGTGACATTTTGACTCTCTGTGACTTCGCTTGGTGGGTGGTGCATGCATAAGAGGAGATGCTTAGGGCTATTCCATTAAAATGTATGTGGGAGGGTAGGAAGGGAATTTCAATTATTGAATATGGGTCATGGGTCTTTTTTCAGTATGCGTCTATTACCATTATGCAAAATTATCTAAAAAATGGTAGGGATATTTTGAAAGTCCCTTCCTACCCTCCCACATACATTTTAATGAAATAGCCCTTACCCTGTCAATGCACAAAGTCTCGCTCCTTTTGAAGTTCATGTCATCCCCTCAGCTTTTGTTACCTTGATATTTATCTTCTTAATCCTTAAACTCTTTGAACCTAAATTTAATTCTTCAATATAACAGTAATAACTAAATTTAGAGAAGATGGGAAAATGTGAGTGGTTGCAAATGAGGCTACAATTTCATCAAATATTTGGAAATAACATAAAATGTATAAAAAAACACTATAAAAGATTGTATGTTAACTTCTAGATGTCTTTTGTGATAATCTTTTGATTTTTTTCTTACAATATCATTGAAGTAAACCCTACATATTTTCTCATTTGTTTACATGAGAAAAAAAAACACTGCTTTTATTGTTATTCTTAATTTATAAACAAGTTAAAAGTGACTTGTTTGACATTTATATATATGTATTGAGAATGTTTTTTTTAAATTTTTTCCTTGTTGTCTATGTGGTTTCTTATAAGATATTGGTCATTTGGTCTTTTATTCATGGTCAATAACTTTTTCTTTGAAGATTTTATTATTTGGAGGTGTAGGCACTGCATTTTTTTGTTTTAATCAACATTTTTAAGGAAAAAAGAATCAAGGAAATAGGAAATATAATAATCTTAATGCACACATTCCTGTAGTAAAACAATCAGACTTTTGTGACACATGGTCTAGTTGGTTGTGTTCATTTGAAACTGGTAAAACTCCAAAGCATTTTGTGCCTGTACTAAGTCAGGCTATCTTGACCATGTGGCTTTTGTTGTTTACATTTATTTTCTTGGTGGAGTCCATTGTTGGTTGTTTCTGTGGTCTTTTGTACTGTTATACATATTATTAGAAAAGTAAGGGAACATTCCAAAATTCTTAAATCTTATCGTTATCATGGAGAATTTATAAGTCTGCAACAGAAATAAATAGAAATAACATTTAAAAGTAGAAAAAAAAATATGTACACCAAATTAAATAAAGTTTTACATTTTACTTGTTATTCATTTTAACAGTGAAACACTGACATCCAGATCAAATTTGATAAATGAGACTGAGGCTTTGAAACAACAGAATGCAGAACTGAGGATGTTGCTACATCAATATGTTAATTCTAAGGTAAATATAATAAGAATTAGCAAACAAATTCAGTCCTTACAGCTATTGCCTCTTTGGCTGTGTTGGATGCATAAATATGGAGCCACATCCATATGACCAACAGCTGTAATTGGAAAGTGATTGTACTAACTGTCCAGTCAATCTCTCATGATGAAATGTGCTATTTTGAAGTATGTACTTCTCAAAGTACATGATAATTTTCTACATCTCATGCATCTTGTCCTTGATCATAAGCAGATGATAATTGATCGAAATTTTTTAGAATTTGATTGAAGTTATATCCAATTTGAACAAAATACTCCCTCCCCCTTTAAAAGAAAAAGAAAATTATACTTTTACTCTTCTCCATTTTAAAATCTTCAAAATCACATCAATAAGATTTCAAGAAATTTACTCATATCAAACAAAATGTTTAAATGTACAAAAGATGTTATCTGACAATCAAAGTTACTGATTCTTGTGACACATACATCTTATGTAATTATTTACACATATAAATTGATTAAGATATTGATTTGTTTTATTCAGCACTATAGTTAAAGAACATAGAACACATTGGTAAATGTAATCAATTTGATAAGGACAATATTTTGAGTCACCTATACATTTCTCAAAGGCCATATTTTTCCATTAGCATATCAAATAATATATATATTCTGAAAGTTTGAATATAACATCGTCATTCCTGTTATGGAATAATTTAATTTGACAGTAATTAGTTTAATTACTCTACTTGTGGTTAAATTATTTAAAACTTCACACAGTTTTTGTCAAGCCTGCGACTTTTGTCGCAGAAAGCTCGACATAGGGATAGTGATCCGGCGGCGGCGTTAGCTAACTTCTTAAAAGCTTTATATTTTAGAAGGTGGAAGATCTGGATGCTTCATACTTTGTATATGGATGCCTCATGTTACGAAGTTTCCGTCAGTCACATGTCCAATGTCCTTGACCTCATTTTCATGGTTCAGTGACTACACGTACTTGAAAAAAAAGTTCAGATTTTTTGTAATGTTAAATTCTCTCTTATTATAAGTAATAGGATAACTATATTTGGTATGTGCGTACCTTGCATGGTCCTCATGCCCGTCAGACAGTTTTCACTTGACCTCGACCTCATTTCATGGATCAGTGAACAAGGTTAAGTTTTGGTGGTCAAGTCCATATCTCAGATACTATAAGCAATAGGTCTAGTATATTCGGTGTATGGAAGGACTGTTAGGTGTACATGTCCAACTGGCAGGTGTCATCTGACCTTGACCTCATTTTCATGGTTCAGTGGTTATAGTTAAGTTTTTGTGTTTTGGTCTGTTTTTCTTATACTGTATGCAATAGGTCTATTATATTTGGTGTATGGAATGATTGTAAGGTGTACATGTCTAGCTGGCAGGTGTCTTCTGACCTTGACCTCATTTTAATGGTTCAGTGGTCAAAGTTAAGTTTTTGGGTTTTGGTCTTTTTTTCTAATACTATATGCAATAGTTCAACTATATTTGGTGTATGGAAATATTTTATGATCTATATGTCAGTCACGCAGGTTTTATTTGACCTTGACCTCATTTTCAAGGTTCATTGCTCAGTGTTAAGTTTTTGTGTTTTGGTCTGTTTTTCTTAAACTATAAGCAATAGGTCAACTATATTTGTTGTATGAAAGAATTGTTAGCTGTACATGCCTGCCTAGCATGGTTCATCTGACCTTGACCTCATTTTCATGGTTCATTGGTCAATGTTTAGTTTTCTTAGTTAATGTTAAGTTAAGTGACAGTTGTAATAAAGCTTTATATTTAGGACTATCAACATAATATCAATGATTAGTAAAGAAGGCAAGACATTTCAGCGTGTGCACTCTTGTTTTAAGAAGAATACAGCTCCACTTGCAAGTCAAGGCATTTGTTTCACAAAAAACTAATTTAAGAGATAATTGAATTGTATTGACGGTTTCGGACGTCCATTGATAGATTTTTTTGGCAAATTGAGTTTACCTAGAGACCGGTAGCCTAGACAGTAAAACTACTGATGGATGTCCACAAAGCTTCAAATACAATAGAGTTATGCCTATTCTAATGCAAAATAAACAAGTCTTTCAATTTAAGTCGTTATTTCAGTGTAAAATTTTCAAAAAGAAGATTTCTAGGTGCAAAATGTGAATTTATTTGCTTATTATTGGAGAAGTTACGTGTCAATACATTCAGGAATTCTAAATGTCGGCTTCTCTTAGTTACAGACAGGAAGATAGAGAATTGTATGCTGATTAATTGTAATCCAATTGGAACCATTGATACAAAAAATAAATGCATTAGAAAAATTATTTGAAACTTATATTTGCAGGTGAATGCTGAGTTGGAAATCCCACCCACAAGAGTGTTACAGTTAGAAATGAATCCAATGAGATAGACATTCCAATCATTGTACAATTATAGGATTTACAAAGTGACTGTGATATTGTGTACATAATATTTATCTTCTGTATGGAAGCATTTTACTGAAATTTTAAATATATAAAATATATTGGTGTACTTCACATTATTATGCCAACATGTAACCCGCCTCAGTGGTGTAATTGTAGTGTGTCACTTTGAGTGAAGATGAATTGTTGGTAGTTAACCCTACTTTCAACACTCTTAGCTATATCATGATGGCAAATTTTTGATTGTTGGAGGAAGCTGGAGTGCCATGAGAGAACATCCGTTCTTTGCAGGAAAACTGATAATCCTAGTCAATTATAACTTTAAATTTTCCACCTGCTGGGTTGGAACTCACAACCTCAGTGTTGACAGGCTATTGAAACAGTAAAAGAACTAATCAGACCACTTGGTCACAGAGGCCACCAATTGAGTGAGGAAGGTTGTAGTTAATAAAGGTATTAGTTGTTTCTCTGCCAAACATGTGTCATTTTGAAGTATGATCAAAGACTGCTCGTTTGGAGACGGAATAATGATTGCTATTTTTTTTGTCTCCTTATATAGTATTGTCTTCTTGATGTCTGGTACCTTGTAAGCTAGGTAACATGATGAAGATACAGATTCATTTTGGTGGTCTAGTACAAAGCAGAGTCTATTCATATATCTTTGTTATCATCCTGAATATGCATGTATTATTTGCTCCTTGAAATTAAATAGCTATCAATCACTTAATTATTATTATGCCCTTTAAACAATTTGAGGCATATATTTCTATGAATTCTTCGTCTCGTTCATGTGAAAACTTGTTTTAACAAGAATTGATGTAAATTTTAACCTTGAGTTTTTGGGGGATATGAGTGAATCACCATATCAAAGTGAATATTTCATCAGGATGTAACCATAAACTTTCACTTCCTGAAGATAATCTTTTTTTCTTTTTGTAGCCAACAATGCATCATTTCACATTAACTTACACTGTAAATTCAGAAATGTTTGTGATGTTTTAGTTATTGACAAAATTTTGAAATTTCATATTTTTTTCAATTGTTCACCAATCACAATAATAAATGCACACATTTGTTTTTACAATATTTTGGATCTTTCTCCCATTATCTTCTGGCAGTGTATAACTTGCCATTGTTTCATGTCTTTCCTCCTTGGACTGTGGCTTCCAGATTTCCAAAAAAGGAGCATATACATTTTGTAATCGTAACTGGACTTTATTTATGAAATAAGGGGGTGCATAATTTGGTTTTAATTATTTTCAGCACTTAATGTATAAAGTAGTATATACCATTTTTGTTTAAATGACAGGTTTTTAGTTCACCATCTATGGTAAATGTGAAATAAATAAAACAACAGTACAAGAGTTATGCAAAATAAACCAATAAATACCTTAAATAACAATATCCTACATAAACAGGAATAAGAAAAGTAAACATGTCTTTTCCCTACAGAGATATGCATCACTTATTAATGATTTTTAAAAATTCAATGAATAAGTTTTTATGGTTTACAGACTAATAAATTCATATTTAAAATATCCTACATCAGCTAAGCATACAGTCAGCAAAGAGCTACCATCAAAACACAATAAGAAAATTTGGTATGATTGCAAATTAGACAACTATTCAACAGAGTCCAAAACATGTGGATTTAGGCAATTAAAGGTCACTGTATGTCCTTTAACAATGAGCTTTACCTGTACCATATATATTCAGCTATATAAGGCCCGGACTTCAAACAATTCAATTGAAAAAAAAACTACCTGATTTATGACGGAACATATAAAAAAAGAATATAACAGACAGCAACAACCACTGAATTACTGGGATAGGAACACAAAGAAATTGGCGTGTTTAACATTTGTGGGAGTGCTCAAACTCCTGCATAACCTAGTACAATGACCTAACAGCACAACATAACATATAGACAAAAGACACTAAGTACTGATCTAAGACATCTCACAGTAACCATAAGCTAGTTATAAGCCAATAACAACTAATAAATAAATGTTCTCCCAGACTAAAGTATCAAACAGCTAGTGCACATTAAACAGATTTGGTGTAAAAGATTATAAATAGTCGGAGAAAAGCATGAGGGTTTTGATATCTGTATTCTTTAATTTTTAGGCCATTTTTCTATATCCATTAAAAATATGCCTATTCTATAAAATTCTTACATTAGTGTAAAATTTTAAATGGACATTAACTGTCATTACATGACTTTTGTATGATTATTATTAAACAGTGATGGGATAATGTGCAGAACAGTTGTTAGGAAAAAGAGGTGGTTTTATACGGCAGGGGACTTTGGACCCTAATCCCTGAGGTAAATGATGCAAAATATTCTGTATTCTGATAATTTTTAGCAGCACTTAAACTATTGCCAGAAAATGCTATTTTGAAGGGCAACATCTCAACTTTTGAAGAAACATTAAAAAAAAAAAAATCATAATTAACTCACAGTCGATCATGCATACAAATGTATATAGCTTATCGTTAATCAGTATACGTCCTATAACAACAACGCACAATGGGGTTGTACCATTCTGTAACTAAGAAAGTCATACCATGTCATCAAACATATCAATATTAGAAGAAAAAAATCTACGAGTATTCATGAACTATCTTCCTATAATTGATACCAAGTAAGGATAAGCTCAGCTAGTCATCTATAAATTTAAAAGAAAGAACCATTTGTTATTAAGTAATCTAAAATTTCTAAACTACAAACGACTTGGTATTATAATCTGTTAAGGCCTGTGCCTAGTCAGGAATATGATAGTTGTTTTCCATTCGTTAGATTTGTTTGAGCTTTTGATTTTGCCATTTTATAAAGGACTTTCCGCTTTGAATTTCCGTTGGCGTTCGGTATTTTTCTTATTTTACATTTTAATATTCTACTTAATAAACTCATCATAGATACCTGGATTAAAATTTTGTACGTCATACGCGCGTTTCGTCTACAAAAGACTCACCATGCAGTGACGCTCGAATTAAAAAAGTTGAAATGGCCAAACAAAGTACGCAGTTGCAGAGCATTGAAGACTAAAAATTCCGAAAGGTTTTGGCAAACACAGCTAAGGTCAAACTATTTACTATCAGTTGTTGCCAGTATTTCTATTTAAGTTAAGAATTCACTCTCCCATCGTATCCCTGTTGATTATTTAGGCTCTGCACTTTAATATAGAAAACGGGACCTTTTTTGTTATCGAAAGAGGTACACAAGGTTACCTCTGGACGAACAAAATTTATCGATGCATGTTTCGTGACCATAGACTACTCTTTACGCCCGCTTTTTACTTCTAAGTAATCTTTACTATCTGTCTTTTTTGTTTCATAACCAAATCGAGACGGACTGACATGCAGAGAACGATAAATTAATGCAATGCAATTGTTGTTTACTACTTGCCTTTAAAAACAATATATTTATTGCTGAGTTAAAACATAAGGTTAGGTGGTATGATTGCAAATGAGACAACTTCTCTCCCCCCTCCCCATATAACAATGAACCAGAGTATGTAAACTGGAGATCGTGATAAGGCATTCGACGATCGTGACGTTACAAGCGTCCAGTCGGATAGAGTATTTTTTGGCAAATACCACGGCAGAGAGGGTAAAAAAGGCATATCCTTTTTGCATATACCCCGGCGGCGTTAAAAAATGAACGATATTCATTTGATAACAGTAAATTAGTGAAAAATACACTGGCTATCAACCAATCAAAACCCAGGATTCTTACATAAGGTGTAATTATGAGTTATATCCACATTGTTTGTTGAGCTTTAAAACCCACAAATAATTCAAAATGAAACAGATAAAGGAGAAAACTCATCAAATATACCAGGTGTATCGTCTACGTAAAAGAGGGACGAAAGCTACCAGAGGGACAGTCAAACTCATAGATCGAAAACAAACTGACAACGCCATGGCCAAAAATAAAAAGACAAACAGACAAATAATAGTACAGATGACACAACATAGAAAACTAAAGACTAAGCAACACGAAACCCACCAAAAACTGGGGGTGATCTCAGGTGCTCCGGAAGGGTAAGCAGATCCTGCTCCACATGTGGCACCCGTCGTGTTGCTTACGTTATTACAAATCCGGTAAATAGTATAATTCGGTAAGTCACATTCGTGAAAAGGGAAGAGTATTGTAGTTACGACATAAGGAAGACTCACCAGTGGCACTCGGCACAGTTGGAAGGCCAAATCAAAAACAAAACAGGACTGAAAGTTCCAAGAAAGGACAACTGATGACGTGATTGAACTAAATAAAATTTAACCAGCACTTATTTACTTATGACGATTTTCTATGTTGTCAGACGTATGCAGAAGCATGACTTTTGATGTAAACGTAGCTATACACCACTGTCAAGCTATGTAACTTGAAGGGACTTATGTTATATCTAGGTGACAAGGATATGTTTCGAGATGAAACTATATTACGTCCCATACTATCACATTTCAATGTCCATTGATCCATGAAAGAGCAAAACTCTTATTTGACGGACTTTCTAGAAAGTCACATTAGTCCTATAAAAGTATGACTTCACACTCTTTTCCATGATTTTTTTAATATAAAAAAATCAATATAATATTATTGTGTTTAGAAGAAAGCCCATGTGTTTATAAACTACGTTTTTTTTCTAAATCTTATCTATTCTTCATATTGCTATTTCTTGAACTTGAAAAGTTGAATAAGATGCAAGTATTACAAAGTCATTTGTAAAACAAATATGTTTTTCAAAATTTTGTTTAAGCCATTATTTTGTTTCGTAACTGAAAAGCGAAAGTCAAAGTGTCACCAAAGTCTAAAAAGGTTTGACAGAGTTATTGGTGTCTACATTAACATAACCTCAGACTGTATCTAAAGTTCATCGAAGGTTCGACGAAGTTATTGATTTTATCAAATCTTTACTGAATCTCAATTTTAACTGCAAAACAAACTAAGTCATTTTATCAGTAAACAAAGAGAAATAAAAAAAACATATATTCTTAATTTTGCCCCTAATACTGTCTTTTAATAATGACGAAGCATCTATGCAAGTTTCGGAAAACTCCATGAAAGTTTGACACAGTTATTGATGTATCTTCAA